GAAAGATGTTCCATCATCAGCCGTAGAAAGATGTTCCACCATCAGATGTAGAAAGATGTTCCACCATCAGATGTAGAAAGATGTTCCACCATCAGCTGAATGTATCTCCACCAACTGGCTCCTCTGGTCTCTGGTTCTGATCCGTGCTGCATCCATTCATTGATCCAGTACGATGGATTCTCCTTCAGTCTCTCTGAGGAAACTCTGGCTGCAGCTCACCTGAAGCTCTCTGAATGGTTCCTGTTGGTCACAGCTGAGTCAGTGGTGGAGGATCAGAACCAGGAGGAGGAAGGTTCTGGTTCTACAGGATCAGAACCAGGAGGAGGAAGGTTCTGGTTCTACAGGATCAGAACCAGGAGGAGGAAGGTTCTGATTTTACAGGATCAGAACCAGGAGGAGGAAGGTTCTGGTTCTACAGGATCTGGTGCAAACGGTTTATTTTTTGGGTTTGTTAATGAGACATGTAGCATACAGTGGTTCTGATCAACCATCATGCCTGTAATCATGACTTGGTTAGTTTCCCTGATGGAACAACACGTCACAGATGATGCCTTCAAGGACCATCTGAAAGTTAAAATCCGATGATTCTTTCTGTTTTGACAGTTTTTGGCTGATAAATGGTCATTTTGGAGATTCTGTAAACAGAAGAAGCCTTTTAAACCTGCAGCAGCGTTTGGTTTCAGTGGGTGAACATGTTGACGTGTTGTACTGATCCGATATCTCTGTGGACCTTCAGAACCAGCTGAGCTGACCGACGTCCAGCCGTGTGGACTCTGTGATGCTGCTCTATGTTTTTCTCAGGACAGATAACGCCATTAAAAACCGCTGGAACTCCGCCCTGAAGAGGAAGGTGGAGAAGGAGGGCTACCTGCATGTCCTCCACAACGCCTCCATCAAGTCTTCCAGCACCTCCTGCGCCTCCAGACCAGCATCCAGCACCACCAACACCCCCACCGAGGTCTGTACTCACCTGCAGCCAGCCTGAAGGTGATACTGCCGATAGTGATGCTGTTCTGTCCTCCAGCAGGGAGACAGTGTGAAGGGCGTGTCCCCCTCCACCAATCACAGCGACTGCAGATGCCACCGGAGCCCCGCCTACCGAAGCCCCGCCCATCATAGCCCCACCCGTTTCCCCGCCTCCTCCTCAGGTTATTGCTCCTCTCTGCAGACAGGGTCTGCAGACCAGATGGAGAAGGTGAGTTAGTTATTTATTTATGTCCTTGTCAACATCACGCTGCAGTGAGAAGCATCAATGCTGTATGTTTGTCACTTTTAAAAGCTTTTGCCTGATTTTATCCTAAATTTCTGGCTGTGGGATTAAGAAAGGATTATCTGATCCGATCGCAGAAACCAGAGACATGGAGCTCGGAGCCGGTGAATTCCTCTCAGAAACCAGCCATGATCTCCACCTGCCTGAACAGAGACGTCACCAACCAGCCATTCACTGATCTGAGCAGGAGCAACGTAAGGCAGCTAACAGCTAGCAGATATTACAGCAGCTCCAGCCAAACCAAGTGGTCCGCACAGAGATCTTAATGAGGAACTGTTAACACATTATCATTAATAAAGTTAGTTAAAACATATGAACCAACACGGCAGCAGACGGAGGACATGATGTCACAAATGTTTGGTAGATTAGCTGCAGTGCATTACTGTTGAGTGAGGGGGAGTTACAGGTGTTTGCTGGTCCATTAAACCAGTGCACATCCTGTTAGTATCGAGGTGTTTGACACTTCAGTGTGTTCATATCAAGGTGGTTGTCTGCAGGTTGCAGATATGAAGCTGGTGAACAATGATGACGGCTCCATGGACTCCTGGAACTGCAGCAGCAGCCAGATGGGAGCTCTGACCTTCTCGCCCTCTGAGGTAAACACCGCTCAGGAGTGTTTAAAGACTCAGTACATCTGAGTGACGTTTGTGATGTTTGTTTGTGCTCAGTTCTTCAACCTGTGTGCTGCTGAGGATCTGACACTGCAGCGTCCAGCTCTCACCTCTACCCCGACCTGCTGCCTGAAACACCTGAACAGCACCAACCAGTACGACTGCTTGCACTGCAGCCTCAGCTCCCAGTAGGTCCAGTAACACCTCGGCCTCAGTTCCCAGTAGGTCCAGTAACACCTCGGCCTCAACTCCCAGTAGGTCCAGTAACACCTCGGCCTCAGCTCCCAGTAGGTCCAGTAACACCTCGGCCTCAGCTCCCAGTAGGTCCAGTAACACCAGTAGAAACCAGCAGTCTACATCCACTGTATGAAGAGACAGAAAGGCTGTTCCTCAGTGACTGACTTGACATCAGACTAAAATGTTCCTGTTGAACTCCAGCCCAAACTCTAACCCTAACCCTATCTCTAACTCTGACTCTAACTCTGACTCCAGCTCTAACTCTAACNACCTGTCCAGGTGAACCTGCCTTCACCCTGAGTCAGCTGGGATAGGCTCCGCCCCCCATGACCCTAGTGAGGGTAAAGGTGTAGAGATGATGGATGGATGGAAGCCTGGCGGCTCATTTCCACCATACTGTGATTTCCAGTCAATGTTAAAGTCCTGCATTCAGTTTATCTACACGATTAGGTTCATGGAGAATCAGAACATATCTTTAGCATTGAATTAACATTGATAGTATTAATAACAAGCTGACGGAGCAGTGTAACCTCCTTGACGGAGGTAATAAATAGTGCAAATAGTGTCCATATTGTTAAAAGATGAATCAGTGTCCTTTTCCCATGTCTGATTGGTTGCTAAACAATTTATCTGCAGCATGTTGTAGTCAGATGGAGTACCTACCACCACCTCCTGACCTTCTGTGGCATTACTATAATCTGTAGTCTGAGTTTGGGAAGGCACGTGTCTTAATATCTTACTAATTAGCGAGATTGTACCCCCACCCAAAAGCAAAAATGTTCAGGCTCAGGATTATTTTTCACTTTAAGCCCTGCGTCTTGTCACCTCATCCTCTGACTGAGAGTCACAGCGTTTCTGGCTAAACCCGGCATGAGAACAAGTCCCACAACATCAAGTGAACTGAGTTCACGATTTACTTTTTTTTTTACCGAGAAGTCTGGAAATTAGGGTCTGGAAAAGTATGGAATTTTTTTTGAAATTTCAAATGTGTAGGAACCCTGAGCTGTATAAATCTAAAATATTGAATTAAATGATTAAATGACTGACAAATACTGACGGATGGCCGGGGGGGGACAATCGGATATTCAGGTTGTGTTGATGGTGTTTCAGGACTCAGTACCGGTCCAGCTCTTCTATGGTTCTGGATGCTGGACTGAGCAGAGCAACTCCACAGAAGCCTGGATGGACCAAAGACGAGGTGACAACAGAATCGGAGGATATCTGGCTGATCAATAATCCTGATCAGAATATTGATTGTGAGGTTGATGATGGCGATCTTCCTCCTCAGGACGAGAAGCTGCACAGTCTGGTGAAGGACATCGGAACCAGGAGCTGGACTCTACTTTCTGGTCATTTCAAGGTGACTTTGACTGTTATTACGAGCTAAAGCTGCAGGCTGAAAATGTACAGTTACACCCAGCAGACCCAAGCTGTGGTTCTGGTCAAAGTGTGTCTGTTGTGTGTCAGGGCCAGAGGTCCAATGTGGACTGTCAGCGGCGCTGGCAGCAGATAAAGAACCTAGAGCTGGTCAAAGGCCCATGGACTCAGGAGGAGGACCAGAGGGTAATAAACCAGGACTGGTTCTGACCCGGTATGGACATGGTGTGTTTCTGAGGGACCAGGACTGGTTCTGACCCTGGTGTGTTCCTGTGCAGGTCCGGAAGCTGGTCCAGAGGTTCGGTTTGAGGCGCTGGTCGCTTATCGCCAAAAACATGCACACTCGTAACGGGAAGCAGTGCCGCGAGCGCTGGCACAACCACCTGGACCCAGCGGTGAAGAAGGGCTGCTGGACGCTGGAGGAGGACCAGATCATCTGTGAGACCCACCAGCAGCTGGGGAACTGCTGGGCCAACATGTCCAAGCTGCTGCCGGGCAGGTAGGTGCATCACCTGGAGGGGGCGGGGCCAGCAGTCAGTGTTTAACCTCTAGGCTCAGAAGTTTAAAGTCCTGCAGCTCCAAGGAAACAGAACCATGATGAAGAAGAAGAGAGAACCCAGAAATGTCAGGAATCAGAAAGAACAGACGTTTCTTGGATTGTTTATTTTGTAAAAATGTAAAATCCTGGAACCATCATGTTCCAGATGTTAAACCCTGGAGCTCATGTTGTCTCCTCGTCCTGCAGATGTTGAAATATCTCCATGTCTCCAGATGTTTCCTCTCTGCTCATCAGATGTAGAAAGATGTTCCACCATCAGTAGAAAGATGTTCCACCATCAGCTGTAGAAAGATGTTCCACCATCAGCTGTAGAAAGATGTTCCACCATCAGATGTAGAAAGATGTTCCACCATCAG